TTTAATTTTTTTTATTTCAATTCCTTCTATTGGTCATTATTAATCTGGGAAATAGCTTTAATTGGGGATCCATTCTTGAGCAGTTCCTGATCTATTAGGACTCGGAGGGACCCCACGCTGGACTTTGCATCAATTAACTCAGAGGCAGTTTGGTAATTTTCAAACAAATTGCACCTGTATGTCACAAATATAGAGTTTATTGTTTCTTTCATTACACCAAAAATCCCCTCTAGAATCAGCTAATTTGATTTTAACCAAACTATAGCTAAATGTGCTGAATTTAAAGTTTACCAATCTCTCAATGACAGATATTGTTTAAAAGAAATGCCTCCTGTGATGTCAGCAGCGAATCAAATGCTGAGAGAGGAGCCATTTAATACCCATCATTCCACTGTGCATGACGGTTCAGATATCATTGTATGGCCTTTCTGACATTCAAAGATCCATCTGTGCCTCAAGGTAGTAGTATAGTTAGCTATAAAACTTTCTATTTTAAAAATATCTGCTGGGCAGATTAAAAACATAAAACAGAGCACAAGGTATAGGTAGTTTTTATAATTATGACAGTTCAAAGAAATTGATTACAGAGTTACTTTAAACAGTTATCTTTGTCTGTTTAGTTACCGTGAAGTAGAGTTTAACTAAATTCTCTTGCCAGGCAGATCACATTCCACAATCAGGTATAGGGACATCCTTAGAGTTGTATAAACTACTCAATAATAAGGAATACAATTTGTCAGGAAAAAGAGCTCCCTGTTGGCTGGAGATTGTCATGTTGTACTTTGCACAACTCAATTGCTAACTAAAAATGAGTTATTGGTTGGGATTTCTATATTTCACAATTTACATCACATGCCAAGCCTGGCATACAATGCAAATTAACTGGATCACTCATACTGTAAGATAGAACGAATACGTGATTGCCTTCACACTGTGGGAGGAGACTAGTGCCAGGCGTCACTTTTCATACTTATCTCTCTACTACATACCTCCAATATGTACATCAATATCCTTCGCTGGGTATAAGCATAGGGAAACTGTCACAAAGTAGTCTATACATATAATTACACCAAATGAAATATTTTGTATCCGTTTATGAGATTGCTGTCAAATTTGTACATATAAATTGACAAAACTGAAATCTTTCATTAATAGAAATAAAAGATGTATTATTGTCCTCTGTGTGTATTATGTGATCAATCATATAGGCATATTTTCTGTTCTTCTCCTGCCTGCTAGCCAGGTGCCCTTTATAATTCACCAGAAGTATCATTATCTGGCTAAAGAAGACCATACAAGTAATCACAGTTATTGTGTGATCACGAGTCCTAACACCATGAATATGTGCTGGGTATCCCAAGACTACTCTCTGAGCCACTGTCGGCAATTTAAATTGTGCATGTTCTTTGTTTGTATAAGCAAAGAGGACTTAAAGGGCAACTGTCATTGGATCTTCACTTTTCGTTTTTTAAAAGTATATTATATTTAAAAGAACACTATAGGATCAGAAACACACATGTATTCCTGACCCAATAGTTTAAAAAAAAACACTATCAAGCTCCACTGCCCCCTAAATATAGTAAAATGTTAACTTTATTCCAGTCTGCTGCTGCTGGCTCTGCCCCTGATCTGCCTGCTTGGCTGACATCATCAAAAGTGGTGATCTCAACCAATCACAATGCTTTCATACAGGAAAGCATTGGATTGGCTGAGCTTGTCAAGGAGGCAGATCAGGGGCAGAGCCAGCACAAGCCAAACACCGTTCTGGCCAATCAGCATGTCCTAGTAGAGATGCATTGAATCATAGGTGTGGGCACGGGGTGTGCCGGCACACCCTAATCCCCGCGGCACGCACTATGGAGAGGACCCGCAGGAGAGGACCCGGGGAGCTCTTGTCAGCAGCTCCGCCGGGTTCCTCTCGCGCGGTCGGAGTGTTGCCGCAGATCTCGAGAGTGAACTCTAGCCCCACAGGGGGCTAGAGTTCACTCTCCACTGGACCACCAGGGATGGAAGCAGCACGATCCCCCCTCCATACATAAGGTAAGAAGGGAGGGGGGATATTAACTAAATGGCCTCCACATCCCCACACATTACACACAAACATACAGCACACACACATACATCACCCTTACACACACAGCACACACACACCCTTACAGCACCCTCACACTAACAACACCCTTACACACACAGCACCCTCACACATACACACACAGCACAAACTAACAGCACCCTTACACATAGCACCCTTACACACACACAGCACACACACAGCACACACACAGCACACACTAACAACACCCTTACACACACACTAACAGCACCCTCACACTAACAACACCCTTACACACACACAAAGCACACACACAGCACCCTCACACACACACACACTAACAGCACCCTTACACATGCACACACTAACAGCACACATACAGCACCTTCACACACACACACAGCACCCTCATACACACAGCAGTGTGTGTGTATATATGTATGTGTATATATATATATATATATATATATATATATGCGGCGTGTGTATTTCTGCTTTAGGGTGCACACCCTTATACAATAGGCTGCGCACGCCTATGCATTGAATCAATTCATCTCTATGAGGAAAGTTCAGTGCCTGCATGCAGAGGGTGGAGAAACTGAATGTCAGTCACAATGTGCAGCACTGCCCCAGGAAGCACCTCTAGCAGCCATCTGAGGAGTGGCCAGTGAAGTTATCACTAGGCTGTAATGTAAACACTGCATTTGCTCTGCAAAGACAGTGTTTACAGCAAAAAGCCTGTAGGGAATGATTCTACTCACCAACTTAACTTATCTTGTTTGCTGCTGTGATTGGTTAGTTTGGTTGAGCAGCAGTTGATTTCTCATGGCTGAGCTTTTTTTAAAAGTTGTGTGCATTTGAATCATTTTCTGGATATTTGCTATGTGTTTGTTCCACTGTACTTTAATGCTTTCTCTTTAAGAGCACCCATAAATGTTACATATTTTTTTAAAGGGCAGATGAGGCTTTCTTCTGATACTCTGCATGCAGAGCAAGACATTACATATAAATAACATGTTAACCCCTTAAGGACCAAACTTCTGGAATAAAAGGGAATCATGACATGTCACACATGATTAAAGGAGGTTAAAAGGTTAAAGGAGCACCATAGGGTCAGGAACACAAACATGTATTATATATAGGTGGCTTGCCCTCCCTTATCCCCCCTCTAAAAGTTTAAAACTCACCTTCTTTACAGCGCTACGTGGGTCTGTGTGTGCTGGCTCCGCCCCCTTTTGTGACATCATCAAAATGGCTAATTTTTAGCAAATTTAATGCTTTCCCACAGGGAAAGCATTGGATTGGCTAAAATAGGCACGGGGTGAGGCCAAATGTCGTTTTGGCCAATCAAAAAATCCTCATAGAGATGCATTGAATCAATGCATCTCCATGAGGAAAATTCAGCGTCTCCATGCAGAGCGTGGCGATGCTGAACGGCAGGGCTGCCTACTGTGCAGCTCTGAGCCAGGAAGCCCCTCCAGTGGACATCTAAGGAGTGGCCACTTGGAGGTGTCCCTAGGGGCAATGTAAACACTGCCTTTTCTATGAAAAGGCAGTGTTTACATGAAAATGTTTGAAGGAAGCTATTATACTCATCAGAACAACTACATTAAGCTGTAGTTGTTATGGTGACTATAGTGTCCCTTAAAAAATATCAACCCCCTTAGTATTTTTCATAGTTTTGCTTATAATCATTTCTACATACCTAGGGCAATTTAAAAAAAAACAAAAAAACATTTTGTTAATTTGCAGTTTCAATTCATCAGAATTACTTTGTCCATACAAAATTATTTGGACCAACTGGAAATTAAAGGGTCACTCCAAGGCACCATGACCACTTCAGTGAATATGGAGCTTAAAGGACCACTATAGGCACCCAGACCACTTCAGCTTAATGAAGTGGTCTGGGTGCCTGGTCCAGCTAGGATTAACCCTTTTTTTTAATAAACATATCAGTTTCAGAGAATAAAACTCACCTTCAAGGTAAGGTAAAGAAACATACCTACCTATGGCCAATGGCTAGAAGAGCTAAGGGGCAGGAAGACAGAAGGAGGCATGATTAGTACCGAATCACAGTACACGGATAGGATGTAGGGGAAGAGGAGAAATGGTTCATGGCTGTGGCAAGAGACACAGGGCATAGATGAGGCAAGGAAGACACATGGGATATGCCTGATGTAGGAGAGCATATGAAGGATTGAGTCTAAGATGGAAGAAGTAGAGGAGAATGTGATTGATGTCCGTGGGGTGAACTCTGGTAGGTCAGTTTGGGAAGGGCGACACACCTATTTACACCCGAACATCACTTTTAAAATTCTTTATGAATGTTCTTTTTCTAAAAATGAAATTGTTCTGCAGAATTCCTGGAACTGTAAAAAGGTGTCTGTAGTCTATCTAAATGTGTTGTTCAGCCAGGCCCAGCAAAATTATGGACTGGTGGAGATGACGGGTTCATGGGTTTTGTGTTTGAAATTTCACGTCTTTCAGTCTTTGAGATAACTACATTCTATCTGTATGTATACTAAATGCTTTGATACATATAAAATCTACTTTATGCTATTATTATATAGTCAATTTTAGGGGCAGTATATCATTTCTCATTTTATTTTTAGATATTGTTTGCTTATAAAAATGTATTATTTTGAATGCTGGAATATGTTTATAAAATGGAGGTAACTATGTTATTATTATTGCCATTTATATAGCGCCGACATAATCTGGAGCGATTGTTAACTTGAACAAAACCATTCTCTAGTTTATACAAGATTTTTATAACATTTATTGAGATGTTGACAGAAGCCAAACACAAGAAATGAGTAATTTTAGAAAAACGTGAAAATGTCTCTTTGATTGATTGTGCTCAAACCAAAAAAAAAGTAAAAAAAAAAAAGTAATTTAAATTCAAACAAGACATAAATAAGCTTATTTGAAATTTAGAAACCTCTTTGTATCCTGTTAAATAAAATAAAAAAAATATTGACCGAATTATACAATTGCTCTAAACATTTAAGAAGAATAAATATGCATATTAAGAATTCAGACAGCCATAACAAGAATGAAATGAAAATAAATATCTGAATAGCAGAAAAATAAAACATGTTTGACGTAGATTTAGGGTATAAATTATCAAACTGTGATGAAAGGGATGTTTTTGGGTGAATAAGAAAATTGCTATTCATTCAGGGTGCTGTTGAAAAGAAATAAATGAATGTACGTCCTTTAAATTCTTTCATAATATATATATATTTTTATATATATATATATCTATATATCTGTATATATATACACAATACATATATCGCTCGTCATCTTGCGTGATGGAATAAACAGTATGATATACTAGAAATAAGTATTTTCTCATTATTTGTTGTGATATTCCAATACGTATAGAGGTTTTGTTTTTTTTACCCCCCCCAAAATGGGAAACTCGTGGAAACGCAGGGCAAAGTTACGAATCCGACTGGAAAGAGTCCGAAGCGATTCATATAAACAATGCAACTTGTACAGAGGCCGAAAAGTCTTACACTCAATAACTTGAGAGTTCGCAAAAATGTTTAAATCACTGCCCCCTTGCATGTTTTGGGACAGATTTAACAAGTCAAGTTGTCTGGCCCTTTGTTACAATGTTTCTCTTGCAGCACACGTTCCTTTGTTGTGAGATGATGGGCACCACATACAGGGCATAAAGTACATGTCCAGAAAAGTGAATGGAGATTGGCGCATTCTAGGTTCTGTCAATCCAAGGCACCCATTTACAGGTGACGTCCTTCGTTGTACATATCACTTGAGAAGCCATTCATTCACTGTGTGGAAATAAAAACATCACGTCATGTTGTTATTGTCACAGTACATAAAATAGGCAATCACTGCTTTCTTATTTTATGTATCAAATTTCTTGTACATGTATGAAATAAACGGGTAAATATACACAGATCTCTGCGCAGTCTGAGGACCATGATCTTGGGCAGAACTAGGACATGCATGCCCAGGTGTGCTTGTGATTAGTGGGAGTTACACCTGCTGGCACCATCCCTTTATATAAAATGTTCTTTTAATTCAGCATTTAACAAACACTCCGAGCACTATAACCACTACAGCACTTCTGTAGTGATTATGGTGGAAGGAGTGCATTGGGTATCCCATTTTAAGGAATCAAATTATTTTGTGTGAGAGTGATAACCTGATGCTCTCAGCCAATGAGCTAAGCCCTAAGTAACATCAAGCTCTCCAGTGATTAGTGGGAGTTACACTGCTGGGCAGTGGAGGTGGCGAGCAGAGATTGTCAGACCCCTGAAGCTTATGTAGCAATTTTTAGAGCGACCCAATAAAGTTTATTACATGCACAGAAAGGATTTAAACAACAGATGTTTCCAGTTTTCTGAAAATCTGCAGATTTTTATAGTGAGGCACCTCTGATTACCCAGCTACAACTGTGAATTATTATTATTACTAGCAACCTATTCAGCAGTGCTGTACAATTGGGGGAGATAAAAGGTACAGTAGAGACAAACCAATACAAAAGCAATAGAGAAGACTGCCGTAAGATGGAAATATTCATGGTAAGAATCTATTTAATGTTCTCTGCATTGTCCTCATTCTATTCTCAACTGTTATTTTCTGTCCCATGTTGAAAACCTTTGAAGCCCCAAATATCATATCTTTCCTTCCACCGTCCTTATCTGCGTTCTCTTCTTTCCCCTAGTACCTAGCTACAATGTCGATAAACTGTGGATCCTTACCTTTGTATTGGAGTTTTTGCGCCCGATTATTCGGACAGTCTTTTCCTTGCAAGCTAAAATTAATATTGGTTCGGATACAGCGGTTATTTAGTGGTTGGACTGGTCTAAAATTATCACTCATGCTTGAAAATATCTGGGACGGTTGGTTTTGACTTAGTAATCTTAAAGAATGCATCTGCAAAATAAAGAGAAAAAATAATAATTGTTACTTATTGTGTAGTCTACGATACACCACGTTTATTGCTGGGGATATCAGGGATTGGATATGATGGTCAAAACAGTTTTGTAACAAAGATATTTTTACCAACTCGGTAAAGAGATTGTCCCCAATGAAAAAGCTGCTGTAAAAACAGGACTAGGTGATTTTTAAATATAAAAAAATAAAATAATATATAAAACAAATGTTTGTCTACATGAACATATCCTGTACTTTATACACATTGGTTACACACTTTAAATGGAAACCAGCTCACAGCCCTGCAATGCGGTATAAAGAATAATGTTGGGTGAATAAGACCTGGGCAACACAGCTCAACACAACCTCAATGGATGGTCCATACTAGGGAAGATCACAAACAGTACGCTGTAGTAGTTATTATTATTATTATTGGTTATTATTTATATAGCGCCAGCTTATTCTGGAGCGCTTTACAATAAGAGGGGAATTTACCAAATGAGACAATAACAAAATGTAACAAAAACAATATGTAGATGAGGACCCTACTCAAACGAGTTTAGGAATAGGAATGGTATTGAGGGAGACAGCAGATAGACATGGTGGGAAAGTAGCAGAACTGGAGGTAAGAGTGGAGTGTGACCCTGTAGGAGAGAGCGAGAGGAAGGTTTGAGAGATAGAAGTTACTCTTGGAGGCCATAAGCAATCCTGAAAAGATGGGTTTTGAGGGACTTCTTAAAGGATTGAAGACTAGGGGAGAGTCTGACAGGGGTAGGCAGGCTGTTCCAACGGAAAGGAGCCGCCCGTGAGAAGTCTTGCAGGCGTGAATTTGCACTAAGGGTGCGAGCAGCAGACAGGAGAGCAGAGAGACCGAGAGGGGGCATACCTATGGATCATTCAAGAAATTTAAAAGGGGCTAGAGTAGATTATAGAAACATAGAATGTGACGGCAGATAAGAACCATTCGGCCCATCTAGTCTGCACAATTTTCTAAATACTTTCCCTGGCCTTATCTTATAGTTAGGATAGCCTTATGCCTATCCCATGCATGCTTAAACTCCTTTACTGTGTTAACCTCTACCACTTCAGCTGGAAGGCTATTCCATGCATCCACTACCCTCTCAGTAAAGTAATACTTCCTGATATTATTTTTAAACCTTTGCCCCTCTAATTTAAGACTATGTCCTCTTGTTGTGGTAGTTTTTCTTCTTTTAAATATAGTCTCCTCCTTTGCTGTGTTGATTCCCTTTATGTATTTAAATGTTTCTATCATATCCCCCCTGTCTCGTCTTTCCTCCAAGCTATACATGTTAAGATCCTTTAACCTTTCCTGGTAAGTTTTATCCTGCAATCCATGAACCAGTTTAGTAGCCCTTCTCTGAACTCTCTCTAAAGTATCAATATCCTTCTGAAGATACGGTCTCCAGTACTGCATACAATACTCCAAGTGAGGTCTCACCAGTGTTCTGTACAATGGCATGAGCACTTCCCTCTTTCTATTGCTAATACCTCTCCTTATACAACCGAATCCAAATTTAAAGGACCACTATAGGCACCCAGTCCACTTCAGCTCAATTAAGTGGTCTGGGTGCCAGGTCCATCTAGGATTAACCCATTCTGCTGTAAACATAGCAGTTTCAGAGAAACTGCTATGTTTACATATGGGTTAATCCAGCCTCTAGTGGCTGTCTCATTGAGAGCCGCTAGAAGCGCTTCCGTGCTTCTCACTGTGATTTTCACAGTGAGAAGACGCCAGCGTCCATAGGAAAGCATTGAGAATGCTTTCCTATGGACTGGCTGAATGCGCGCGCTGCTATTGCCGCGCATGCGCATTCAGCCGATGACATCAGAAGAGGGAGGAGAGTCCTAGCGCCGAGGGAGCCCGGCGCTGGAAAAAAGGTAAGGGATTAACCCCCTTCCTCCCTCTTCAGCCTGGCGGGAGTGGGACCCTGAGGGTGGGGGCACCCTCAGGGCACTATAGTGCCAGGAAAATGAGTTTGTTTTCCTGGCACTATAGTGGCCCTTTAAAGATTGCAGTTTATTGATAAGCCTTCTATGTGCAACAGTCTCAAACTCCTTACTGAAATCTAGGTAAGCAATGTCTGCTCTATTATTTTAGTTACCCAATCAAACAAATCAATATTCCATCAGGTCCCATTGACTTATTTGTCTTTACTTTTGACAGTTGAAATAGAACATCTTCCTCTGTAAACTCACATGTAACAAATGGCTCATTTGTCCCTTTTCCTAACTGAAGCCCCTTTCCTTCATTTTCTTCTGTAAATGGGGGCTCAAGACACCTAGCTGGCAACTGCTGAGATCTATACTGTCAGAACACTTACCTGTCATCTAGACATCCTGTCCATCTAGGGATAGAGCAGGCCGCAAGATTTTACTATTTACTTATTACTCAATTACAAATGGGGGGCTAAAGGCAGAATAGACAGGTCTTTTCTTAAGGGGTACCCTCGAAGGCACATGAGATAATCCTACTATAGAGCTTTTGCCTTAGGGGTGCCACCGAGGCACATTAGACTATCTAATAGATAGGATTTGCAAACTGACTTCTATTTTTCTTATTTAATGCAATACAGGCTATATAATAGAAGCTTAGAAATTTAAAGCAGGCATGTTCCTATGAATATAACCCGTTTAACCTATACGTTTATTTTTATCTATCTGCACCACTACGTGCAGTTATTCATGGTCAATCAATCTAGACCCTGCCTCACAGATAGGAAATAACTCTAAGACTGCTACTTTGTTAACGGCTGAATACACAGCGACGAGGAATGTATCCAAAGTAACAGCACAGTATCACAGTCCATCTGCTTCTAAAAAACACCAAGAAAGTACTTTAGAATTTCCTACTTGCTATCTATAATAGAACAATTGATTTAAATTGCAAGTAATACTAACGACCGCCCAATGCTCTTTAGCTCTATTTGTACTGTTATCACACAGACAGAATAATGACTGCTTACCCTATTTTAATAAATCTTGCTTCACATTTTTTATTTTATGTATAATTATATTAAAAGCTAAGATTCATAATTAGACACATTAAGACTCTATTTTCGATATAAATTACCTATGCCACTGGTGGCACCTACTGGTAGTATTTTGTTTAAAATGTTTTATTTTCATTTATAATTCCTTTTTGTCTAAGATCATCTGTAAATACTGAACAAAAATATTAATTGAGGCAGGCAGCTAGACCTTTATCCTCTTCTACTGTGGCGAAAGTGACCTCACCACTGGTTTTTGGAGGGGCCTGTTTGTCAGACTCTTGCTATGTGACTATGGCCCCTGGGTGTATTGCCGTTTAAAAACATTATTTGGACTTAAGGGATTTTAATACACTGCTTCTGCCCCTGTAAATTCTATGAAAAAGGATTTGTACTTTTGTTATGGCACTTCGGATGCAGCCGAAGTGCCGAAGTAGTCGAAGTGCCCGCCATTCGACAAACTAACACGCGGTGGTGGCCATTTTAATTCAGCCGAATGCGGCCAGTGGTGTTTTGCTGTCGAGTTCATGGAACTAAAATCAGATACTCAACGGCACGAACACCGCTACAGTTTTACCTTCTCTGGGACTTCGAATGGAGTCGAACAGCTTTCGATTATTCGAACGCCACATTAACATTGCAGATCTGCACGAACAGCCCCGTTCCTGCATTCGAACGATATTTCTATGGAACTGTTTTGGGCAGGAAAGCCATGCTGCGGTTGGTCAAATAAGACTTCTAAATAACTTATGCGAATGTGATGTGTAATTTTAAAGTTAAAGAAAATAGCATATTGTAAAAAGTATATTTTTCTGCCTGTGGTAATTATGTTAGTCCATTGTGTTGAGGTAATTATATCACAGGCAGAGGGAAGGGTTTGTGTGCATTAGCTGGGAGTGTCTGACTGTATTGTACGTTGTTGATTGGCTGTTCCACAAGGTCCACGTGGGTGGTAACCTTGTGGAAAAATGTGTATAAAAGAAGCAATAAAGCCCCAGCTCTGTCTGTTCCTGTTTACACTACAAAACTGTGTGTTGTCCTGTTATTGGAGGTAAGAAGATTTGCTCCTGTGTCTGCTGTTCCAGCTAGCAGAAGATTCAAGGGAAGAAGGCTTGCTCCTGTGTCTGCTGTTCCAGCTTACAGGAGATTTAACGGGGAATGTCCTTGTAAGGACTAGAGCTAATTCCCCATTCGGTTCCAGAGTTCCCAGGACCGAGTGTCGTCCAGTGCCTGGAGGTGTCTGCTGGAGTGCTTGGAGCCCTCAGGAAGCGCTAGGAGCATCCTTCAACTGAGGTACCCAGTCGGGGTGCCAGGTGATCTGTTACATCTACATACCTTCCTTCTTTTGTTTTTAATCAAACTAATCCTTGTTTTACTTTCATTTTCTCATTTATGTATCTAAATAATGTTTGTCCCCTTTTTTTTACTGACTGAGCTATTTTTTCTTCTGTGTGTGATTTGGGAGCTCTTATAACTTGCTTAGCCTCTTTCTGCCTAACCTTATAGATCATTCTGTCTTCCTCACTCTACCACAGTGGTTTCTCAAATTTTTTGCTTTTACTGACAAGACTAATGCAATTTTCTGTTGCCTTCAGCAGTGCAACTTTTAAATAATTAGATTTCTCTTGGACTCCATTTAAATTGCTCCAGTCTGATAATGACTCCTTTACACATATTCTAATTTTACAAAAGTCTGTTTTTCTAAAGTCTAAAACTTTTGTTTTTGTGTGGTGTGACTCAGTCACTGTTCTTATATTAAACCACACTGACTGATGATCATTGGATCCTAAACTTTCACCTAAACTTTGGTATCAGTAATATCTGATACCAAATCTCCATTTGTTAACACTAAATCTAGTATGGCCTCCTTACGAGTTGGCTTCTCAACGACTTGTTTCAGAGACAATTCCAGAAGTGAGTTTAGAATATGTGTGCTCCTGGCACGAGCAGCTATTTTGCTTTTACAGTTCACATCAGGGAGATTAAAGTCACCCATGATGACAACTTCCCCTTCATTGTCATTTTAGCAATTTCCTCAACTAGATTATCTAACTCTTCTATTTGTCCTGGGGCCTATAATCCACACCTACACGAGTTACTGTGTGATTACCAAATTCGTAACCCAAACAGACTCTATGTTTGCCTCGCTAACTTTTATTAGGCTAGATTTTATGCTATCCTTCACATACAGGGCCACCCCTCCCACTTTCTTGCCTTCCCTGTCTTTTCTATATAAAGAGTACCCTGGTATTGCTATGTCCCAGTCATTTTTCTCATTATACCATGTCTCAGTAACAGTGACTAAATCTTATCAGTTGCCATTATTGCCACAAGTTCATGGATCTTATACTCTAAACTGCGAGCATTTGTAGACATTACTCTAAGCTTATCATTTTTTAACACACTTGCTACAGGCACCTTCTGTCCTTGTTTTGGGGGGCAATTGGATGGATGTTTTATCACCCTTTTACCCCCCCCCCCTCCTAGTTTAAATACATCCTAGCAAAACCTCTAAACTGCTCACTGAGAACATTTGTTCCCTTTTGAAAAAGATGCAAACCATCTTTTTTGTACAGTTTATTTCCATTCCAAACAGAGCTACCATGAGAAATGAAGCCAAATCCTAGCTCCCGACACCATTCACCATGCCACAAGTTAAAGTCCCTAATATGCATCCGCCTGTCGTTCTGAGTGTTATGCACAGGCAGAACTTCAGAGAATGACACTGTGGAAGCAACTTGTCGTATATCATCGGCAAAAACACTAAAAACGTCCTTAACCTCTGAAACCTCATTGCAAGCCAAGTCATTTGTCCTTAGATGGACACGTACATCCAATTCCCCTTCCTGCTTTGCTCACTTAACAATATTACAAATACGTCTCCTATCTCTGTGAGCAGTAGCTCCGGGAAGACATCTCACAAGACCACTATTGTCTAGCTCCACACCTCTTATGATAAAATCCCCCAACAACAACTGCTTTCTATTAGGCCTCACCATAGTCTCCAAGCCTCCATAATACCACTACACTCGGTGCCTGAGCCTGTCTCCACAACACCACTACACTTTGTGCCTATGAATGTCTCCACAACACCACTACCCTCAGTGCCTGAGCCTGTCTCCACAACATTAGTAAGTATTTTAAATTAACACCTGTAGGGTACAGGAAGCCATTGTAAGGATCGACAGAGGGGTGAGGAGTTAGAGGAGCGACATGAGAGAAAGATCAGACTGGCAGCAGCATTCATCACAGATTGTAGGGGGGTAGTATGGCTTCTGGGAAGACCAACTAGGAGAGAATTACAGTAATCCATGTGAGAGATTACTGGAGCATGAACAAGCTCCTTGGCAGCATCTTGCGTAAGAAAAGGGCGAATGCGGGCAATGTTTTTAAGCTGGAATCGACACGTTTTAGCACTAGACTGGACATGAGGTGCAAAGGTGGGGCCAGGATCAAAAATGACACCAAGACAGCGAGCTTGAAAGGATGGGGTGAGTTAGGTACTGTCAACCTGCATGGAGAGTGAAGGAGGTGGCAAAATAATAAACAAAGTTTTAGAGAGACTGATTTTCAGAAAGCAGGAGGACATCCAATCAGAGATAGAAAAGAGGCAATTGGTGACACGCTGTAGGAAAGCAGGTGAGACGTCAGGGGAGGAGAGGTATATCAAGGTGTCGTTGGCGTACAGGTGTTAGTGGAATCCATATGAATTAATGAGTTTGCCAAGAGAGGCAGTATAGAGAGAGAACAAAAGGGGACAAAAGGGGAAGGAGCAGTGAGGTAAAAGGAGAAACCCTACACCGCCACCTTTACTGTCAGACCGTCTTGGGTTGTACGTAAACTGTAGACCACCATAGGTTAATGAGGCTGGGGTAGCTGTGTCAGAAGGAGAGAGCCAAGTCTCAGTTAAAGCAAGTAAGTTAAGGGAGCGTGAGATGAATAAGTCATGGATAGAAGTAGATTTAGTTATGTTGCACACAGAGCGTGCATTCCAAACGGCAGAATGGAAGGATGGCTTAAAGGGAGAGTTCCATGGGATGGATATAAGATTGGAGAAGTTTCTAGGGTGGACAAAAGGTAGGTAGGTAGGTAGGTAGGTAGAGTTATGGCGCCAAGAGTCGCTTGAGAAGTTGTATCTTTATACTATATATCTAAAAGGTGGTAGATTAAGATACTGAGAGCAGCCATGCAGCAGAGACAGTGATAATGATACAGAAAGGGTAGTAGATACCTGGGATGGACATTCAGAGGAAGCAGTAAAGGCTAACAGTGATATAGAATTTGATGTAGATACCAGGAATAGCCCTTCATTCGAAGGATAACACAGGGGAAGAATTTCACAATGGGCAGACTACTCTGGTCAGTCGGATCTTATTTGCCACAACAACAAAACAAAAAAATTTTTCTAAGAGAAAGTAAGTCGAAAGCAATTTGTGGGGTAGGTTTTATGCAGGACTTATCTTTTATTTATTCTTTTTGGACATGAAATGAGAAAATAAATGAATACAAGGAAAAATAATGGGGTTTTAAAAACAGCCATATCTATATCTATGACATAATGAGAAATGAATAAAAATAACAATATTCTTGTAAGGATGACTCTCTGACATTACACAATCAATAACACGAATAGAAACGAATAGAAGACTTCAGTCTAAAGCACCGATATGACTTTTTTTGATTTGCGTGTGTGTGCACTTGATAGGAGAAACAGACAAATATATTTGAAATTTCACCAAATTAGCGCATGTTTCCATTGTGGGCGCTAAATATCTGCCATAAGCTGTTTTTAAAGCAAAAAATATAATCATGCTCACATAAGTTCCAGAGTCGTGTTTTGTGGTCGCTGCTTCTAATGTCAAGTCCCGGCCACATCGAAAGTCAGAGTTCAGAGTGAATTCAAAGTAGACGAAGGGGGTAGCAGAATCTTTTTACCCTCCAACCCCAACACACAAGGGGTGAAGAAGAGGGGGCATTTTTCACACACTCCAAATTATTATTGAAATCTGAGGAAAGTCCCCCACTAACACAGGAGTGAAAACTAGATATGTTTTGATTTTCTTTTCATTTGGTTTGAAATTCCTTTCAACACAAAGACAAGGAGCAGGACATCACACCACTCTCCTCTATGGTTTCACACCGGGGATAATGTCCTGCTAGGCTAATCCAGGTACATCAAGTGGACTTTACACCTGGACCCATCAGAAATTGGATTTATGTAATAAAACCAAAAATGTTTTATTTTTTTACACACGGCAAACTAAAATATAATCTAGAAAATATAGAGTGGAATCATGGCTGTTTTTTGTTTTTTTGCTGGTTCAAATCCTCTTTTGGTTAAAAAATATATTTTTCAGGCCCAATGGCAGAAATTTACCATCCAGCAAATAGCATCTTAGTATAAATTTACTACAACAGTCCTATGCTCTAGTAAATCATTCTATACACTCTTACTTTAAAAAAAATAATATTATTCTGGAGGTTAAGCAATAAAATTGATGTCTGTTAATCTGTCTCTTTCATGGCGATATGTTAAAGGTGAAAATAATGCCATTTTATTTCCATAGTCTGTCACTAAGGATACAGAATGTGCCGAAAATTGTAATGTTATCCATCCCTCTTCAACGTCCGACATACAGGGAGCTGCACAAGGTCATAGACCTGACAATCAGAACTACGTGGATTTATAGTTTTGAGCAATAGATTTTCATCATTTTAGCTTTTACCTTCCGTCATTTAGCAGATATCAAGCCAAGGGCCCCAGATTGTAGATAGTGACAACTATTGTTTGTGAACTATCATTTAAAAATAATATAGTGAGATTTTCGTTTGTCTCTGGTTCCAGTGGTGAAGGGATGGATGGTGTAACGAGGTAGGTCTACACATGATTATCCATGTTTTGTAGATCCACAAAGCAGAACTGTCATTTCTCTGGACACCATTGAATAAACTTTGAAAATCACCTATAATGGCTTTTTCTCAAAGGTAAAAGCTAAAATGATGAAAAGCACCAAATCTATCGCTCAAAACTACAAATCCACGTAGTTCTGATTGTCAGGTCTGTGACCTTGAGCAGCTCCCTGTATGTCGGACGTTGATGAGGGATGGATAATATCACAATGTGCGGCACATTAAGCTTAGTGACAGACAATGGAAATAAAATGACATCATTTTCATTATATATAAAATTTTAGTAAGCGACATGACATCATCCAGTACAGTCCAACCACAGACTGGATGCAAATGAGGAGGGAAAGAGAAGCATGAAAAAGGGCAACAATTACAATGATGACTGGGAGTCAAAATGGACGCTCCCAGTTCCAGAATGGAAGTGTAGATTTCTACATTTAATTTAATTTTTCCATATTTTAGGGGGCACTATGGAAAGCTACTTAACAGTTTTTCCATGCTGAAACTTTTTATTTATTTTCTTTTTACAATGATGCCGAAACCTGTTAAAGTTGTATTTTTGCCCGGAGTGTCCCTTAAACAAAAAAATATTTGCTAAAAATAAGGGATTTCATAAACACAATATTATAAATCCTGGAAAATGACAGTTCGCCTTTAAATCTTATATACAATTTGTGTTGTGTTGGTTCCGATCTTTATGTAATAACTCTAGTTCCTGACTTGGAAATATTAATAGGGTTTCTAGCCTTGTCCAGATCAATAAGACACCTGATGTTGTGGCTAAACACTTTTATTTAAAGATTATTTTTTTAATTTGTTTAAAGTTTAGGCACTGGCCATTTGTATTTTTTGTCAAGAGCCTAACATGTTATTGTGACAAAATACACACAATATATATTCTTTGAAATAATCTGAGATATTTTTGTAATTGATTGAACTTGATGGAATAATATATATATATATATTTGTTTTACAATTCTTTATTATTTAATTTTTAATTTATTTAAGAAAAAAAAAAGGTCAAAGATCAACCGGAAATACAAAAACAACCTAAAATAATAACGTATAAAGATATTTCTAAATTACCTGCTCCACTGAGCCAAACAAATCAGGAGGTAAAAGGGACAGTTGTCTGACAACCAGGGGATTGTAACAAGCTTAATTTATAATTGCCAACTTCTGAAAAAAACAAGACGTTTTTGGAAAATTAAAAAGGGGACACGTTCTTCATACATAAAGTGCTTGAGCAAACTTTAGGATCTTGATTGTCCCTTTAATTACCCCAAACCACGAGCTGGTATATATTTGATAACTTTGAAAACTACCAAAAACCCAGGTTAAGTGAAAATGTTCTCCTGAGTGGCTGGTTTAGGCTAGATTTTGTAAGTTAGAGTTGAGCTCACTGCAGGCCATCCACATAAAGTAATGACGGTGTAATATTTTACTGCATTTGTTTTTAGGAATTTAGACCCATTTTTGCAATCGGACAAAGCGAACTGCCACATAGACAACGATTGGACCTAATTGTTTTTCTTGCTAAAGTGCTTTTGGCCCTTGTGCTTTTACAGCACCTGTGGTAGCAGTTTTTTGGCTTTCAATCAGAGAGTAAGAAGAATTTCCTACCTCATTTACCTTAAACGCTCACTCACGGTGGAAGTGAGGACATCCACCCCGCTTCCAGAGAAGTATTGGTTTCAGTGTTGCTCTATGAGAAGCAGTTTGCTGCAGTGAGGCAATTACTGTGCATGTATTCTGCCTCACAATGCTTCCCTATGAGAAGCAATGGATTGGTAGGGAGCAGAGTTTTGGCGAGGAGAGTAAGTAACTTTTTTTTAGGAGACTTGAGAGTTGTCTAGAAATCTACAGGTAAAAAGTAGCCCTCCAACATCACAATGAAATGTATTTATTTCGATCATTGGAGTGTTCTTTTAATCAGAATGTTGCACTCATTTGTTACCCCGAACGTTAACGCTTGCTTTGGTGCTGAAATTTCGGTACTTTGACAGTTACCTTTTTTATACAGCTTCATAGGTGATACAAATAAAATGATTGGAAATGAATGTATCCTTTTAAAATAATCAGTGGATGTGAATTACCTGCATCCTTGTAATGTAGATCGGTTTATTCATTATTATCCAACTTGCTGTCTCATAACAAGGAGGTATAGTCAACGATCCATCGTATGTAATGAAGCTAGAGGTTTCGGGGTACAGATCCTCAATATTTAGCCCCTGCAGTAAATAGGCATCATCTGAGGACATATTATGAAAAAAACATGTTACGTCAACAAACACAACTAATGTAGTATAGTGAAGTATTCATGATCCCCATTAAAATGTTGGGGTCTGCCAACACGTGTTGGGCGATAAAATAGCAAGACTCCTGTTTTACACACAATTGGCCCCCCTGGCCCCATAACAAGGAATTTAGACAGCACAATTACATCTCTAACTGGATATTATGTGCTTCTCCTGGAGCCATGTGGAACTCTGCTTGGTGCATTATTTAATGTTTAAAATGAAATCGGTCATCTTATTATATGTTTATCCACAATCACCTTCCAGAGTCACTTGACTGTTTGCGACTGCTACCTTGGCCTTAAATTTGAAATTCACTTAAAATATTTTCTTACTAAATTACCTTGTTAGTCTGAGTTGCCGAATAATTTATACACTCCACAGTGCCTCCAGGATAGAGTTAACGTTTTGGTGTGAGCACCAAGCCCTTTACCGTCTACTGACATATTACACCAAGTTCACCATTTTTCCAAGACTCTAGCAGGCAACCGTCAGCACTCCAGATGCTGCAGACTACATCCCCCATAATGCTCTTACTTCCATAATGCTGGCAAAGCATCATGGAAGGTGTAGTCCAAAACATCTGGAGTGCCGAATGATGCCTATGCCTGGTTTAGCAATTCACACAATGTAGGGCTTTGTCAGTCAAGCTTCAGATACATTTTAATTTTGTGGTATCTTCCTTACTTACTTTTAAATGTTATTCTAGTGATTGGATCCCTGCTAAGCATCCGATTTAGGAAAGCATTCGATGAATCCGTTACCTGGAGACAACATAGAAATAACCAAACAAGCATTAGTTAAACCAGTGACAGTATTACATATTATACCATCCATGAAATAATAATATCATTGATATAAATCTATCGTAGTTTACCTGAGCTCATGCAGAATTAAACCCTGGATGCCTTTAATTAAATATTATTATATTGCAAACATGAACTAATCAATTTACAAACTGCCTACCTGTCTACCTGGTGAAGCTCTAAATTACTGCATAATGCTTCCAAACAGAGAGAGGCAAAGTACACAATATATACCTGCAGGATAATATTGTAAATTAGGACACTAAGCAACCAATGAGAGAGTGGTAAAGCACAGATAACACCTGCATGACAATACTTTAAATTAAAACATAGAGTATACTTGCATGAAAACATTGTCAATTAAGACACTAGGCAGCCAATGAGAGAGCAAAAAAAATATATTATATCTGTATGATGATTACACTACATAGCCAATGAGAGACAAGCAAAGCAGAGGTTATACCTGCATGATGATACTATACATTAGAACACTGGTTAGCCAATGAGAGTGAAGCAAAGGATAGATTGTGTCTCCTATTGGCTGCAGTTTACCTGCACAATAAACTCTTTGTAACACATTCTCTGTCTGACTTGTGATCTGTTCACATTAATGAACCACATTTGGAAGCCCTGTCTTACTAATTCCTCTGTGCGTAATAATTCCACAATTTCACAATTTCCCACTGTGGGCTTTTTATTACTGTTCAAAAGATGATGTACATGCAAGAGGTGTATTAAATTGCAGCAGAAATAACATTAACTCAAATAATATATTTCTTAAAAATTCTACACTTACTTTTATAAATATTGAAATAACGACGATTCCATTTGGACTTTTAGCTGCTTCTGTTACATTCGTATACAGCTCATGGTTATAATGAATTAGTTGAACCTTTAAAAGAACAGAGTGTAAGCATATGACATCACAGGAAAAACAATACGACAATTAGGTGACAATGACAATATATTCTATATGGTTGTATTACTGGGAATGATGATACTGTGCAAAATGCAGATTATATACAAAGCATATCAGGTGATGTTTGTTAAAATTCGTGTCACTGCACTGTAATTGCACTTAACACTCCATCACTGTCTAAGATATTAATAATATAATAAAGACAAATGGCAAATATATTATGATGTAAATTTAAATATCTACCATTTGCTTTATTTATATACACTGAACAAAATTATAAACGCAACACTTTCGTTTTTGTCCCCATATTTCATGAGCTGAACTCAAAGATCTAAGACTTTTTCGATGTACACAAAAGGCCTATTTCTCTCAAATATTATACACACATCTGTCTAAATCTGTGTTAGTGAGCACTTCTCCTTTCCGAGATAATCCATCCACCTCACAGGTGTGGCATATCAAGATGCTGATTAGACAGCATGATTATTGCCCAGGTGTGCCTTAGGCTGGCCACAGTAAAAGGCCAATCTAAAATGTGCAGTTTTACTGTATTGGGGAGTCTGGGGGAGTTGGGGGCGGGCGTCTGAAAACCAGTCAGTATCTGGTGTGACCACCTGTTGCCTCACGCAGTGCAACACATCTCCTTCGCATAGAGTTGATCAGGTTGTTGATTGTGGCCTGTGGAATGTTGGTCCACTCCTCTTTAATAGCTGTGCAAAGTTGCTGGAGATTGGCAGGACCTGTACAAGCTGTCGTATACGCCGATCCAGAGCATTCCAAACATGCTCAATGGGTGACATGTCCGGTGAGTATGCTGGCCATGCAAGAACTGGGATGTTTTCAGCTTCCAGGAATTGTGTACAGATCCTTGCAACATGGGGCAACATGAGGTGATGGTTGAGGATGAATGGCACAACAATGGGCCTCAGGATCTTGTCACGGTATCTTTGTGCATTCAAAATGCCATCAATAAAACGTACCTGTGTTTGTTGTCCATAACATACGCCTGCCCATACCATAACCCCACCGCCACCATGGGCTACTCGATCCACAACGTTGACATCAGCAAACCACTCACCCACACAATGCCATACACGCTGTCTGCCATTTGCCCTGTACAGAGAGAACTGGGATTCATCCGTGAAGAGAACACCTCTCCAAAGTGTCAGTCACCATCGAATGTAAGCATTTGCCCACTTAAGTCGGTTACAATGATGAACTGCAGTCAGGTCGAGACCCCGATGAGGATGACGAGCATGCAGAAGAGTTTTCCTGAGACGGTTTCTGACAGTTTGTGCAGAAATTCTTTGGTTATGCAAACCGATTGTTGCAGCAGCTGTCCGGGTGGCTGGTCTCAGACGATCTTGGAGGTGAAGATGCTGGATGTGGAGGTCCTGGGCTGGTGTGGTTACACATGGTCTGCGATTGTGAGGCCAATTGGATGTGCTGCCAAGACTGTGTAAGTCACATGCAGGTACGTTTGACTAGGGCTGTATAAACAAAGTGATTTAACTTCGAAATGGCAGAGAATTGAGCAGTGAGAATACAGGGGCATTATCTATACACCAAAACTGCTTCATTAACCTAAATTTGTTTTGGTGCCTCTGGTGTCCCTTTAAGTGTCCAAGTCGATGTACAATGTGCAGGGCCGGACTGGGAAAAAAATTAGGCCCGGGCATTTTTCAATTAGAGCGGCCCCCCAAAAAGGTGGCGGGGCCAGAGAAAGTGAGCATGTTGGTTCAATGCGCAGAGCCCCACTGAATAGCTCTAGCATTAGAAAAAGGCCCTGTATTTGTTCTGCGCAGCGCAAGCAAATGTAATAACATGCTTGCGCTGTGTTTGCTTTTAAATTGTCTCTGGTGTCTCCACAAGTGGGATACCAGAGGACAAAAGGGCCAGGAAAGTGTATGGTGCATGTGTTTGGCGCATGCTTGTGGGATTGCCTGTGTGTAGAGTGTGGTGTGGTATTGTGTAAATAGGTCAATTTTGTGGTGTAATATGTGTGGCTAGGGGCTGTAGAGAGTGCGTGTATAGGGGCATAGTGTTATAGGGGATGTAGCGAGTGTGTGCATACGGGCAGTAGTGTGTGTGTATAGGTGACGTAGTGTGTGTCACTTATACACACACACTACTGTGTGTAGAGAGGGTGTGTTTAGAGAATGTTGTATGTGTTTGCTTACAAGGAATGTAGTGTGTGTGTAGGTGGTGCAGTGTGTGTGTAAGAGATCTAGTGTGTAAAGGACCCAGAGTGTGTATAGAAGATTGTGTGTGTGTGTAGAGGATTAAGAGTGCATATAGGGTAAGGGATCTAGCGTGTATCTGGAGCGTAATGTGTGTAGTGGTGCAGTGTGAGGGGTGCTGTAGTGTGTGTGTGTATATATATATATAGCAAAAAAAAAAGGATGCTTGGCACTCTCCTTTAAGTAATAAGAAAGAACTAATAGCCTGGGTGCTATACCCCAAACAAAACTGAGCATGCACTCACAGGACTTGGTTAAAGTGAAAAAAAGGGACTTTTAATTATTCCATGTGAATGGAAAAAAAAATTTTCTGTACATTTCACATGGAATAATTAAAAGTCCCTTTTTTTCACTTTAACCAAGTCCTGTAAGTGCATCCTCCGTTTTCATTTTTGTGTATATATATATATATATATATAAAAATATAAATAAATAAAATATATTTGGACGTATTGTATGTGTGAGGTGCGCAGTGTGTTTGTGTAAGAGGGGTGCTGTGTGTGAGGGTGTTTTTATCTGCCGTCACATTCTGGGTTTCTAATTTTATTTGTCTGTTAACTCACTGAGGGTTATTTTATATAATATATGTGCTGTATATGTGTGGGAGTGAGGGTGCTGTCTGTCTGAGGGTGTTGTGTGTGTCTGGGGGTGCGCTGTGTGTGTCTGTGGGGTGCTGTGTGTGTATGGATGCTGTGTGTGTCTGGGTGTGTATGGCTGTGTGTGTCTGGGGGTGCTGTGTGTGTCTGGGGTGCTGTGTGTCTGTGCTGTGTGTGTCTGGGGCTGTGTGTGTCTGGGGGCTGTGTGTGTCTGGGGGCTGTGTGTGTGTGTCTGTGGGGTGCTGTGTGTGTCTGTGGGGGGCTGTGTGTGTCTGGGCTGTGTGTGTCTGTGGGTGCTGTGTGTGGGGGTGCTGTGTGTGTCTCTGTGCTGTGTCTGTGGGGGCTGTGTGTGTCTGGGGCTGTGTGTGTCTGGGGGCTGTGTGTGTCGGGTGCTGTGTCTGTGTGTGTGTCTGTGGGGGCTGTGTGTGTCTGTGGTGGGGGGGCTGTGTGTGTCTGGGGGGGCTGTTAGGGAAATTATTTTAAAAATATATTTTTTATTTTATTAATAATTATAATATTATTATAATTAATAATAAAAAAAAAGTTATGTTTCCCCCCCCTCCCTTCTTACCTTTAGCCTGGGAGGGGGGGAGCCATTCTGCCTGGGAGGGGGAGCCTTGAAGGGACCATGCTGCCTTCCCTGGTGCTCCAGAGGTGAGAGTGAACTCTAACCTGCGGGTTAGAGTTCACTCTCGCGAGATCTGAGCGTTGCCGTGGTAACCGCGGCAACGCTCAGAATCCCGCGAGAGGACCCGGCGGAGCTGCTGGATAGAGCTCCGCTGGGTCCTCTCTCCTCCCTCCCTCTCTCCCCAGCAAGCAGCCGCCTGGAAGTGTCTCTGGGCCGGTAAAGGGAGATCTGTGATCTCCCCACCGGCCCATGGAGGCACACAGCGGGGCCGGCGCTCGGGTAGTGCTGGCCTGCAGGGGCCGGCCGGGGAGATCCTGACAATGTGTCTAACTGTAGGCAGTTCTGATTAAACTGTGACATGAAATTGTTCAAAGCAGTAACATTTGCTAAATTTGAATAGGATATTTTCGGAGTTGTAGAAAGTGCACAAAGTACCAGCTATCAGCCAAAAATACTATATTTTCATAAAATTCTACCTTCAAATGCTTATCTCAGTTTCCCAAGGATTTAGCCATCTATAAAATATTTGGCTCATTTACATATTTTTCCTCAAATGATAGAAAACTGTGAAAAAAAAATGACACCAGCTCTTGACAATCACTGAATTATGTATGATTCTTTCCCCCAAGGATGATTTTATAGCTTGTTGCGGAGGCTATGTATCACGCTGATTTGTAACATCGCGATCTGACATGCTATAAACCATACATTAGCTGGCTTTTGATATAAGTTTTACCTTGAATGTCACATTTTCCAACCTTCGTATTACTGATGACTGAAAGTATATTTCTTCTGAAAGATCGCTTTTTTTTCTTTTCTTAAGTTAATGTCACGGTCAGTTACACTGTGCTTTCTACCAGAAAAAAATCAGAGGGGAAACCTGCAAGGATCTTGAAACAATTGCTGAATAAACCGATTAAAACGGCAACATATTAAACTTTATTAAGATGTTTTTTTTCTGGAATCGGAACAATTAGTTAATTAAAGGGGAGTTTAGCTGTTAGAGGGTAAGGCTCCTGAATCCACGTTTATGTGGAATCAATCAGTTGTGGTCCCTGCATGCAGTATATACTAATGTCAAGATATCACGCAGACCATCAACATAGAAACATGGAATGTGACGGCAGATAAGAACCATTCGGCCCATCTAGTCTGCCCAATTTTCTAAATACTTTCATTAGTCCCTAGCCTTATCTTATAGTTAGGATAGCCTTATGCCTATCCCACGCATGCTTAAACTCCCTTACTGTGTTAACCTTCAGCTGGAAGGCTATTCCATGAAGAATATTTAAAATTAATATTGAGGATTTGGCAGCCAAACGCCTCAACGCCTATACCCTCTCTTAGATGAGATAGGTCGTGTCTGCTGTCCTAAGCTTGATACATATCCCAGGGCCAGATTAAGAGCCCAGTGGGCTCAATGCTTTCCTATGGACATCCAGCGTCTTCTCACTATGAAAATCAGTGAGAAGAGCGGAAGCGCCTCTAGCGGATGTCAATGAGACAACCACTAGAGGCTGGACATAGGCGTGCGCACAAGGTGTGCCGGGTGTGCCTGGGCACACCCTATTCCCGCGGCACGCCTATGTATATTGAGACCAGCAGGTGAGATCTCAGGATCTGCTCTCAGCCTCCCTCCCTACCGACCCACATGCAGGGAGGGAGGCAGGAGAGGACCGGCGGAGCTCTTGCCGGCAGCTCTGCTGGGTTCCTCTCGCGAGATATGAGCGTTGCCATGGCAACGCTCAAATCTTGCGAGAGTGAACTCTAGCCCCACAGGGGCTAGAGTTCACTCTCCACTGGACCACCAGGGATGGTAGCAGCAGCAGCAGCAACAAGGATCCCCCTTCCCTACAAAAGGTAAGAAGGGAGGGGGGCTATCAAGTAATGTACCCCCACCTCCACCCCCACACATACAGCACACACACATACAGCATACACACACATACATACACAGCACCAACACACATACAACACCCACAGACACACACAGCACCTACACACATACAGCACCCACAGACGTACACAGCACCTACACACATACAGCGCCCACAGACATACACAGCACCTACACACATACAGCACCCACAGACATACACAGCACCAACACACATACAGCACCCAGAGACATACACAACACCAACACACATACAGCACCCACAGACATACACAGCACCTACACACATACAGCACCCACAGACATACACAGCACCAACACACATACAACACCCACATACATACACAGCACCTACACACATACAGCACACACACACATACACAGCACCTACACACATACAGCACCCACGCACATAGCACCCATACATACACAGCACACATACAGCACCCACAGACATACAGCACCCACAGACATACACAGCACCCACAGACATACACAGCACCCACACACATACAGCACCCACAGACATACACAGCACCTACACACATACAGCACCCACAAACATACACAGCACCTACACACATACAGCACACACACACATACAGCACACACATACATACACAGCACGTACACACATACAACACCCACATACATACACAGCACCTACACACATACAGCACACACACACATACACAGCACCAACACACATACAACACCCACAGACATACACAGCACCTAAACACATACAGCACCCACGCACACAACACCTACACACACACAGCACCCACAGACATACAACACCCACATACATACACAGCACCTACACACATACAGCACACACACATATACACAGCACTAACACACATACAACACCCACACACACAGCACCCATGCACACAGCACCCACAGATATATACAGCACCTACACACATACAGCACCCACAGACATACACAGCACCAACACACATACACAGCACCAACACACATACAGCACTCACAGACATACACAGCACCTACACAGACACAGCACCCACAGACATACACAGCACCAACACACATATAGCACCCACAGACATACACAGCACCTACACACATACAGCACCCACACACATACACATCACCTACACACATACAGCACCCACAGACATACACAGCACCAACACACATACATCACCCACAGACATACACAGCACCTACACACATACAGCACCCACAGACATACACAGCACCTACACACATACAGCACCCACACACATACAGCACCCACAGACATACACAGCGCCAACACACATACAGCACCCACAGACATACACAGCACACACACACATACAGCACCCACAGACATACAGCACCCACAGACATACACAACACCTACACACATACAGCACCCACAGACATACACAGCACCAACACACATACAGCACCCATAGACATACAGCACCCACACACATACAGCACAAACACACATACAGCACCCACACACACATACAGCACCCTCACAAACAAACACAGCACCCTTACACACAGCACACAAACAGCACCCTCACACACACACAGCACACTAACAGTACCCTCACAAACACAAACAGGACCCTAACAAACACACACACAGCACACTACCAGTACCCTCACACACAAACAGCACCCTCACACACAGTACATTAACAGCACCCTCACAAGCGCACACACAAACAGCACCCTCACAAGCCCGCACACAAAAAAACACTCACCCACATAGCACACTACCAGCACTGTCACACACACATCACACAGCACACACACACAGCAGTATATATACACACACATATATATACATACATACATATATATATGCGGCGTGTGCTTGTGCTTTAGGGTGCACACCGTAATGCAATAGGCTGCGCACGCCTATGAGGCTGGATTAACCCTTGTGTAAACATAGCAGTTTCTGTGAAACTGCTATGTTTACAGCAGGCAGGGTTAACCCTAGAGGGACCTGGCACCCAGACCACTTCATTGAGCTGAAGTGGTCTGGGTGCCTATGGTGGTCCTTTAATCCGGCCCTTTAATATTCCTGCAATATCGATAAAAAGCAATGCACCTACCTACTCCTTCACTTCCTCAAATAAATAATGACAATGGGCTGCATTATCTTACCCTGTTAGTAAAAATATTTTAGTTTACTTAATCAGTGTGTTCAAATGATTAAATCTTCACCCCCTGTCCACTCAGATAGGGATTATTAAAAATTCAAATACAACTTTAATCCCTTAAGGACACGACATGTGTGACATGTCATGATTCCCTTTTATTCCAGAAGTTTGGTCCTTAAGGGGTTAAATGACAGCACAAAATGTGAGTGTCTCCATAGGAGAAACACTAGTCTCTGTATCACACAGGATCCACTGTTAGTTTAACCCCTTAGTTGCTGAGCCTTTCTGAGCTTTGTAGCGATTCTTTGATGAGAATTTAGCATTTCTTTGTTGTCTTTGGTAAAAGACAATTATCAGTGCCGGTTCTCCGACGTATCCCTCAAATGAAGTTGTTTTTTTATCAGCAGACTTTGCTCTACGACAATACAAACTTTGCTTTTCATTACCCCATTATGTGCAAAGCAATGTCTCTTAGAATGCAAAAAAAAGAATTACAATGTATTCGTGTAGTTTTATAGTTTAGTTCACAGTTCGAAAACAACTAACAGAGGGAATACGTTAGAATCTTCCAGTAGAAACAGGCATTTATTTTTTGCTTTGATTTATGTTGCCATTCAAACTCATAATGAAAAAGAACAATATCTATAACCAGTTACTGATATACATTTTTAAAAACCGCATAACATACCAATTTCAGCTAGGGGATACTTAGCTACGTGTGGCTTTCACTATTTATAATCCTCATTAAATTCTAACAAATATTGCAGAAAATGGTAGAGCAAAAAGATACAGAAAATGTTTAGGATGACAAAATAATCATAAAGATTTCACCATAAACCATAAGCCATTTTATATTCTTGCACTCCTTCTAAAATATGCTCTTTAAACAATGCAAACATTTATAGAATCCGACATCAAATCAAGTTTTTAAACCGCCACCGCGCTCCATTTGGCGAGAGAAAAACAAAATTGCATAAAAATAACCTGCTTAAAATATAATTGAACTCTTTGTATTTTTAATTTATACACGTGTAAATATCCTCTGCCATGTATAGTGATTATTCAGCAAATATTAGCAATATATCCTTACCCATAAACATTTAATTAAAGGAACACACACACAGTACTTCAGCTTGCTATGTGTCTAGAGTCTGTCATATTTGGGACTGTGGCAGTCTGGCAAGGTATCACCGCCACGGATTCCCTTTTCCCCAAATAAAATAACGCCAATAATCCTGAAGTAAAAATATTGCCCGTTTTGCAAGTCCCCCACACATGAGCAAAGGCTTAATGCTGGGAAAAGACTGTTTTATTCAGGGCCACACATGGCCTTTTATGACAAAGCCCATGCAAGCGGTTTCTTACACAAAACAGCATGGTAATCCCTCCCTTGTACCTGGGAGATAATTGAGTCAGTAACTGTACAAACTCATTTATCTTCAAGTACAGAAAAACACATAATTTACAGACACCCCAAAAATACCCCCCAAATACATGAAAATCCCACAAAAGTTAGATCCCTGGATAGTCCCGATCTGGGTGACCAACATTTCCAAAAATCACCCAGATCGGTTCAGTAGTTGGGGAGTTCCATGGAAGTCACTTTTTTGGCCGACCGCACACGAGGCTCCTGCCCAAATTAGTTCCATGAGAAAAATGGTAGCAGTCAGTCAACTTCGGTAGTGTAAACCCAAACAAACAATTAGAACACTGCGGTGAGAACCGTTACAAGGTGTCAACAGGGCTTAACAAGCATCACGGGTGGTCACGCCTCATCCGGCTTAAGCAGCAGAAAGAAAACACACAGTTTTCCGGCAGTTACATGGAAACCCTGATCGAAAAATGGATGAATTCCTTATCCCCTGAGAAAGTGGTGAGCGATATTGCCTTTCTTGGCTGTGATTCGCACCCTGGGGTTTAATTGCCCATACTCCCGAACCAACAGGAAAATCCCACGAACTAAGTAAAACGAGTCAGAATACAAGGGAATATAAATCCACAAAATCAACCGAGAGAAGTGATGGGGCTATTCCTTCACAGGGACAGTTTATAAAAGTGCCAATTTCAAGAAATTGACACCTTGCAGGTCTGCAGCCTTTATCAGTTGTTTTTTTCATATACCCACAAAGAAAGCATGCAGAAAAAATAAATAAATAAATACATATTTTCTTTGGAATCATGTCTACTAAATTGTTGAAATTTAGTTTCACTAGAGTGTTACTTTAAAAGATGCCCAGCATATTTTAAAATGGTAGTTTTGTAGATACTCTGTAGGGGAGATTGCAGTGGTAATAGTGATCACATAACGCTAACTGATTAAAACTTAGATCTTTGAGTCAGTTACTCCTAGAGTCCACGTTGGTGAGAGGCCCACGTCTTCTTTCAAACAAGGGTTTGCCAAGCAAGATAAGTGTACCTACAAGGTCTGAGGATCTCAGTTACTCATCCTTTTCAGGGGCTGCATTACACCCAAAAGTACCTCTATTTGAGAGACAATATTGTCCTATTTCATATGAAGGTTGTTTTTGTTATATTGTCCCTTTCATTGCAGAGATATGGGGATTAATAACAAGCCCCCTCTCTAACCAGAAGGTACCTTATAGTTAAATGGTCCCTGACTGGAATCCAGGACTTAATGGAAGACAGATTCAGGGGTATCATGGCCCATAGCCTTATCAGCGCTGCGGAATATGTTGATAATAATAATAATAATAATAATCTGTTGAACTACAAACATTTCAAGTTAAACACTTTCATTTTGCATTTTTTTTTAACATGGCGGAGGGGGGCGGGAAGGCGTGGATAGAGTTTGTGGTCCCTGATGTAATAGAGCCAAGGTTTATACATAGGGTTAATTCAAAAATGAGACCTGAGTTGGATAAGCAGGTACAATAGATTAAGAATTCATCCACCATTAATGGCAAACAACGTGTCGCCTTACCTCTCCTGAAAAAGCTTGTCCATTAAGAAGATGCTCCGAACCTTGTCCGTCTTCACTCCCAAAATGTAGCCTGATTTCTTCTAAGCGATGGCTATAAGTTAGTGGCCCCCCGGATACATTTACTAAATGTTCTTTGTCCAGCCTTAGTGACACATGCCTTCCTGTATTGTACATTGTACCTCCCACCTGGGGAAAAGAGAAGATACATATCAAATTAATGTCAAGTTCTTATTTCCTAGCCAAATCTAAATGCTTCCTAATATGTCACTAATATACAGGCACATTGATGGAAAATACTACAGTCAGAGGCATTGCATTGAAAATCACATAATCACATTCTTCTTGTGCTTGTCAGTTAGCCATAATGCAGCTCATTGAGAAGCAGGGAAGGCAGACACATGCTAGCCCAGCACACCGGCCGCTTCTGTTAGCTCCACAGAACTAATGATATTAGAAGACAATCTACCCAGATACCAGTGACAGTCAGGGAGGTGTGTCTTCCCCAATTAGAAATTAATAATGATTTGGCAATGATTCTCTGTTGCTCACAAGACTCAAAGCAAGCCTTGAAGGCCAGATCGTGATGAGCTTTTAACATGGGAAGATGTCATGGTGGGAGAGGAAGGGTTAACAAGCAGGTACTGCTAACTATTCTTCTCCTAACAATATACTTTGGTCGATACGCTTTCCTCACTCTCTACACCCTGGTGGTGTACACCGCTTGATCTACATATTAAATGCCCAAAACTGCTGCTGGTTAAAATAAAGATAATTCAGAATTGTCTCTAACGCCCAGATCTTCATCCCAAAATGTGTCTGTTTGCTAATTATTAAAATTTTTATTTTAACAGCAATATTCTAGTTTTATAATGCAGACATCCATTACCATTTTTATGCTGACACTTTGTCACTAAAAGTTTAAGATTTAATTTAATCCACCCCCTCCACTTTGTATTTCATCATAAGTACGGGAAAATCACACATAGTAAAAATGCCCACACAGTGTACGTCTATTTACTAGATGTGTGACAGAAACAAATGGAGCAGCAATGGGAGAAGGTGTCTAAAAATCAAAGGCAGCTTGGTTTAGAAGCTAACAATCAGAACCACGGACAATGTTGTCGAGTGACCCATAAGAATTCCACAATCTTAATACTACATCTATAATAGATCAGTTCTACTTCCATTTCTGTTTGTAGAAATTAGATATGAATAGAAGGTTGTTTGAGCAGAACCCTCAATAAATTGTGTTCTTGTACGTCCGTGTCTTGTTGCAACTATTTTTTTCCGTCCAACTATTGTTGAGGAGCTTTGTAAATAGTTATAGTAATAATAAGAGTCAGAGCTCAGCCGAGAACAAAATGGAGGCTTGGAACACATTACCCATATAAAGGGAGAGAGGCGTGGAACACACACTGAAACCAGAAGCAAGCCACACACACGGAATGTATAAAAGGGACAATACTCACCGGGATCATACAGATGAACCGAGGAAGCCTTGTATTAGGCGAAACGCATTTTTATGAAGTAAGATTCCCCTGTGGACTTTGGTTTATTGATTGATGATAATTTTACAAGAATGGAGTAAACTTTTGAAATTATCGGATTAAATAAAACATTTTTACCTACATCCGGATCTGGAAAATTGCATCTATTGAAATCCTAAGGGTGGCGTCCCCCTCACAAGTAGGCACACTGCGAATAAAATAGAGCCTATTAAAAGGCTCTATAATCACGGGAGTGGTCATTTTTTTATATAATTTTCTACTCTGCCATATTGTATGGATATATTGCACTACATTGTGTTTTATCTGTCTTATTCACGGAGGCGGACATCACTTGAGACAAGATGAAGTAGTCCCCCAAAAAATTACTCCAAGGCGTATAAACTAGAGCCAAGTGTGAGGCTCTAGTAAATGTGAGTGGAGGTCCAAAGGGATTCACTGGGGAGATATTTGTTTCTAATATTTTTTATAAACAGTCTTCACCATTGCTTTGTTTTTTCTGTTTTTATTTTCTCGAGGTATTTACCATCCAAAGAACTTTAAACTGCTGCTAAGTATTCAAAAGTTTGATATTGGCACAAATATTTATTTCATCATTTGCACTTTAATCACGGCTGATATATTTGAAATTGATGGGTTTGCTGATTTGCAAAAAAAAATTCTTTGAAAAGTACACTAAGCACTTTAGAAGATTTCAGAAGTATATTGAACACATTTTTGAATATATTTATTAAGGACATACACAAATTAATATATTTTGCACAGGCTCTTTAAGAGTGTTTTGAGAGTTGATCTTCACGTGTATTTTGATACTTTAATAAGCTGAATTTTGCTCATTTGTTTATTTGCTATATGGATTTTTAAGCACTACGTTATCATTTCACTGTCTTCCTAATAACTTGTACAATTTAGTTATTGGACACTGCAAGTTAGCAGAGAGGACAGAAAGAAAGCTGCACACTGTTAGGAAGGAGGTAAGATGCAGAATGGAGAAAAATAATTAATTTACTGCAAAAACTATATAAAATTGAGTGTGCAGAAAATACAAGCAATTATTTGGAGCAAAAGCTATAAAAAGGACAAGTCACTTTGGTGCCTGAAGTGTCCTATTAAATGAACACTATAGGGTCAGGAACAAAAACATGTATTTCTGACACTATATTGTTAAAAACACCATCTAGCTCCCTTCCCTTCCTAGGCCCCCTAAATATAGTAAAATCTTACTTTTTTTCATGTCTGCTGCTGCTGGCTCTGCCCCTGATCTGCCTACTTGGCTGACATCATCAGAAGTTATGACCTCAGCCGATCACAATGCTTTCCCATAGAAAAGCATTGGATTGGCTGAGACGGTCAAGGAGACTGTCAGTGTTCGAACTATCAAAACCCAGACTTTGAAACACGTAAAGGACAGCACATTGTATATACACAATTTACTTTTATGTATCAACCAAAACCACTTTCCAGATCTCCGTTTTTTGTTCTGAAAACTATTTCATACGTTGTAAAAGGCTTTAAAACTGTCTCTAGCTCTTACCAGTCATTCTTAAAACAGGTTACACTAAGAGACTTATTAAGCATTCATTTAGAAAATGGATAAAATGCATAATTATATTCATTTTGTATTAATTACCAAACACATAAGATCATAATATTAGTACAATAGCCACTGGGTGTATAATCAAGGGATACTTTGTATTTGATTTTTTGATTGCCAGTTCCACCCCTTTCAACTGTAGCTTTTTGTTTTAGGAATCATAAATCTGCACAGATGGAGGGAGCATGCTAATCTGATTTTCTGTTACTATGTTACCAGATACGGACTAGAATTTTTAATGAAATGTCAGATTTAAAGGTTTATAGAAAAATATTTCTAACACAGGATTACCTTTTAATTTAATTTCTTAAAAATGTACTATCGTATTGATAAAGTTTTCAATGCGTTGATCTTTAAGGTAAATTTATAAGTGGGACCTTTAATTCTCTGTGAATCACAGTTCCTCATCCTGCCAGTGAAAGGGCTTCCTGTGGTTAGTTATTGGGCTAGCTGTGCCCAAACCCTTTCATATTGCTAACAGACTTATTTTCAATGAAGGGATTCATACACTATAAACATATGATAGGCACCAAAACTTTAGCTCAATTATGCAGTTTTGGTGTATAGATCATACCCCTGTAGTCTCACTGCTTGATTCTCTGCCATTTAGGAGATACATTACTTTTTATAGAAACACAGAAACATAGAATGTGACGGCAGATAAGAACCATTCGGCCCATCTATTCTGCCCTTTTATAAAGCCGTAGTCCAAGACCTTCCTAACAATTCCTGAAAAGAAAGATCTAAAATGTACACTTCCTTATTGCAAAGCCTGTTTAATCTAGATTATTTATTTTATCTCCTGTTCTCTTCAATTTACAGAGCAGAAGATAAAAACTTCTAAATTAAGTTAACATCTGATTGAAATTGAAACAATATATTTTTTAATGCAGGCTGTGTTAGTCACAGCCAGGGAAGGTGTGGCAAGGGCTAAAGTTGTTTTGGTGACTATAGTATCCTTTTAATAGAGTGCTCGAAGCACAGTAACCCACCACGACGTGCTATTTAGTATTAATTTTCTAGAAATTCACAAGTGAATAATATATGTACTTTATAGTCAATGTTTTATTTATTGCTGGTTTCTGCACGGTCTCCTGTTTATAAATGGAAGAAACTGACGCCAATTAATGCAAATGTTTTGGACAGATGCTCATGCGAGAATGCCACCAGTACTTATGGCTGGCGTAAAGTAGCAGTATCTATATATAAACAATGTATAAAAACACTAGTTGCGATGAATTTACACAGAAACACAACTTCTCCAGCATTACAGGAGAATAAGAAAGGGTGCAAAGAAATTCTTACCTTACGTCCACCTGTGTTGATGCGCAAAGGCGTTAAGAAGGGGTCGAAGATCATATGGCTGGTTTCTATGTTGACCGGAGACTGTCTCTTTCCAACCGCACAGAGATTCCAGGCAGAATTTACCAATCCCCAGAAGGAAGGCACTAGAAATGAAAGAGAAATAACAAGCATTTAATGGCATGTTACTGAAACGTGGAGGATGGCATCAAATTCAATCAAAATATTCTCACAGGCTACTCAAAACACCAAACTAAGTCACTGGTTTCCTCACAGCGTTGATCATTAATGGCACAAATACTGGTTCCTGATTGGTTTATTTTATTATTTTTTGGTGCTCATTTTTTGATTAGAGAACACATTTACAGAACCCCTTTCCATGGGCAGATAATGATATTTTTTAAATTTGCTATTTTTGCATTAATGTGGCTGTTTTCTTCTTGTAATAAAAGGCTAGTAAACTTCCCTCTTCCCACACGGGGGACCTAAGTTGTCATGAGATTTATGAACATTTGTACCATTCTTTGCTGTTACCACTCAATTGGCTAGCTGCCATGACCCTACAAGTTTGGAGATGGCCAGATTGGGACTCTTCATTATTTCTGGCAAAAACCTCACTGCACACGAGGTTTGTGAATGGTGGGATCGTTGGAATTTACTCTTTGGCTAGTGATGACGGCTTATCTGGTACAACAGGAGAAGCCCATTAGATCTTCTGGCCTTAAACAAGAGGCCTAGCACGGAGCGCTTTAGAGAATAAGGTGATACTTAGTGAATAACTGACTTTCTATACACATGTAGAAATTTGATTCTTTTTAAAGAGTCATTGAAGTGCAACCGAGTAGAGCACATGAGTCCATTACAGTAGGTGACTTAGTGATTGTATCTGCTGTGTGATACCAAGTGTTGAAAGAACAAACAGGAACTTGGGGATTTTAATTTAAAGAGACACTCCACTGCCCAAGTACAAAATTCATAAAAATCACTGTTTAGTAGATACACTCCAAATGAAAACTTGCATGCGTTTAAGTATGTATTTTTCATTATAGTCATATCTAAAAATAGCTTGCAAAAAACTGCAGATCTCTTGTCTGCTACCTCTGCAAGCCCTCCTCTTCTAACCCCACCCAGACTTTCAGTGGCTGTCCAATCACAGACTTCCCAATGCAGCTCAATGAGAAGTCTTTGCAAGCAGTATAATTTATTAAAGTGTCAATTTCTATTGGAATCTGCACTTTTTCCAAAATGAAAAAATAGGACACTCTTCACACATAAATCTTTTCAGCAAGCTAAAGTGCTTTAGGAGTCTGGAGTGTCCCTTTAAGTCACACTCTTCTGCACTGTGTAGGGGCCTGTTTAGATCAAATCTCCTTAGTGCTGACTGGTGAACAGCAGACAAGGAAGGAGGGAGAATGTTATTCAAGAATACATCAGGCTATATATGCAGCCTGCACAAGTATCCTGTAGTACCATTTGAAATCATGATTTCTGGATTTTGTATTTACTATAAATGGGCATTATTTCCAAATACAGTAACAATGTTTAAATTCTGATGGTATTTTGGGAATTAACATTCCTTAAAATAACAGATCCTTCAGAAACAAGCATCAGTATTTGAATGTCTCAAATTTGCATCAAATAAGAAAATTGACATTTGTTTGTCTTTGCTAACTTTTCTGACTGTAATTACTTCTTTGTTATTTACCTCTTGTAAAGGAAATTACGTAAATTCTGAATATTGAATATAATCTCTATCTTTATATCATTTTATTTGAATTACCACTGAACAACAGTCTATACGCAAATGTCTATTTTGTCCTAACTTTTTAAATAAATAGTTATTAAAGCCCTTTTATTACAGATCCAGACCTTGCAGTACGTCATTACCCATTTTTATCTTAGTTGTTCACAAATACTCTAATGGATGCTAACAATGGCAAAAGGGAATGCAATTATAAAATGAGTCAATTAGTCAAAACAAAACCTAAATCAGACTTTGCACATCCTACGAAGCAGACATTGCTGGAGCTTTATAAATAGGCAATACAAGAAGAATTATTAGAAAAAAAATAATAATGCATAGACAAGTTTAACAGCAAGTGGATAATTGCATCATGCGCAACTAATTAGCTGAAAGCTGCATAATATATGATAACAATCAACAAACATGTTCCCAATGGGGAGGATTGGCAAAAAAAATACAAATTAATGTGGTTTACACAACGTTTAACCCTTGAGCACACAATATCATCTTTAAAATCTATCTCTGTCATCAGAAAGTCTTTGCACCATTATTTATCTTCTAAAAACCATGTGTTGATTATTTTTTAATCTCTTCAGCAGTTTTTATAAAATTCAGATAAGATTTCCAGCTAGCTGTGGGCATCTTGGGCACAGAGATTGTCAGTGCATCACCCAAAATCAAACATATATCATCCCTCTCCTTTACCAGCATGCCTGTAATAACAAAGCCTCAATTTACCGTAATAAGCTTTCAAAATCATTCAGTACTGTGAGAAAAATAATATAAATGATTTATCTACAAACATTCCCATAGACTTTAATGGTGACTTCAGAAGGAAACTTTTCTAACAGTATGGAAACCCCAATAAGTATATGTAAAAAGAGGCCCTTAAAAATATAGTTTTTTGGTCCCTTTTGGTCACAAAAGAATCCCATTTGGTCACAAAAAAGGCCCTTTTGTGACCAAATGAAAGAATACTTCAATGACGTGTTTTTTTTGGCAGACTAGATGAGCCGAATGGTTCTTATCTGCCGTCACATTCTATGTTTCTATTTTTTTTCTTTTTATGTTCATTGGTAGCTTATAGATGCCACATTTATTAGAAGCGGTACGTGAGGATACATCGAGCCAAATTGACCGATTTGTTTTATTTAATTGGCATATGGTAAAAACCTCAATATAATTCATTTTAATTCCAATTAACACCATAACATGTGGACATGTCCAAAGTGATGTCAAGGCATTGTAACATCTCTAATTTGCAGGAACACCCATATCAGTCACTGTGACCCTCACCTCGGTTTACATCCCACATCTCCATACAGTATAGACCTGGTACGTTGTATTTCCTACCGGGAACCTTGCACTTTAACTCTAAATATAATTATAGCCCACCTCCTCTAGAACGTGAGTTCCTCAGTACTCATATCATCTCTCGTTTGCTGGAAATGATAATAAGTACATACATATTTTACAGAGATCAAAGGAAGGTGATATCTTGGGATTGATACATAGTATAATGATTACTGTAATGGCTTCTCAACACATTCGTATAGTATAAAGAATATGTAGTATAGTATACTATTGTTCAGCAATGTAGACTGATGATGTTTGATGAAAGATGGTATGTTTCCCTCTAGTGGTCAGGAACTTTCATGACCTGTTGTTCTCTTTCATCACTATTTGTGTCGGAACTATATTAATAAAAATGGCTAATTTCACATGGGTGGCAGTATCCTTGGACACTGACCCCTGCTGGTTCCCAGTAATGCAGCCCTCAGTACCCCATTACAGCAGTGCCAGCAGAGAGGCCTCTGTGCGCCCATCGTGGCACGTATGTAACAGGTTTCCCATCGTTGATTTATATAAATGATTGACAGGTTGCAGGATAAAGAGGGGTGTAGATTTGGATTATTTTTCAAATCACACAAACACATATTTGTTAAATACAGCTAAGTAAACATAATGTTAAAAAACCCTTTAGAGTGACAGTTTCTCTATAAATATGGCTCCAAATGACAGTAAATTAACGATAGCCATTTCTTAGGTCAAATAAAAAGTTGCTCAAGCAATAAAACGTAATCAGGCAAAATCCATAATTTATAAACAAACAAACAATTCATGGCCATTGGATTAACTAACTAACCTCCATTTGTTTAAATATACATAGGGCTTTTGGGAAGAGCTCAGGTAACTTTTTTTCTTTGGTCTTTACTGTATGTATTGGGGCTGATGTGTACTATGGTCGTTGCTGCCGCCCAAGAGTAGTGGGAGTTTGAACGCAGGACTAGTTTTTTTTTGTATTAAAATGTATTTACTGCCATCTGCTTAAAGAGTTGTTTAGGCATATAATTCTTGACTTCAATCAGCGTCATGACATCTTCAATAAAAGCTTGTTTGTAAAAGGTGGAACGGGGGAATTGGGCTAAAGAATTTTTTTCCAATGCTACAATACCTATAGATAAAATTAGGCTACTTTGGGAACATGACATAAACTAAAGCACTTAGTAATTAAAGATATTGGGCACCAATAGTGCATATTAAACTATAAGATTTGCTCTTAACTGTTTTTTTTTATTTTGGATCAAAACAAAATGAATAAATACGGAGCAGGAATCACAAAATAAGGTTGGGGGTCATGAATAGGCTAGTACTAATATATTGAATAAACCTTAATTGGTATTAGTACGCAGACATTGTTTCAAACCTACAGGACATGTTTAGAAGCCATTGCTCCTTGGAAGGAAATGGTAACATCTATTCTCGACAGATGCATTAAACGTTTTACCCATCTCGCTACGGTGAGAATACCTTAATACGTTTTCAAAATTAAAGAAATTGATTTTTTTGTTGAATGATCTATTTCATTCTTGTGTCTTAACTTCGTAGGTTTATTAAATGTTAACTGGACACACATGCAACTAATTGCGAGGGATATAGCCAATAGAGCCACAATAACCTTTAAACGAGGTGTTAACATCGCAAACATCACAGCTTAAACCTTTATTCCACGTACAGCTGAACAAAAACAAATCAAAATGGATTGTTGTCCTTGTTTTGGACACAGGGATCGCAATTACAGGCTTCATAATGTAAGGAAGATCTAATCAAAAGTAAATGAAATAAAGAAACAGCCATTTTGGCATTATTATTGCATCCCTTGGTCATTCATTCAGTCACTTCAATATAGCGCTAGCTGTGAGTCTTCCTTTATTTCTAGTGCCTGCACAGTTAATTATTGATGTATTTTAGACACAATAAATAATAGGTTTAGGTTCTTTAATTTTATTTTATTACATTTAAGATACTTGTTTGATTTCCAAAAAGTTACGTTATTAAATTAAGCAACTTAAATATCGAACAGCAATATGTGCAATAAATTATAGAACTGGGGGACCCAAGTTCAAATCCTGGTCAGACCAACTCACCAGTATCTTTGGGCAAACACCTAGCAACAGGGCCGGATTAACATAGGGGCTGATGGAGCTGCAGCTCGAGGCCCAGGCCCATGGAATAGGCCCATTGATTTAAAAATAAAATAAAAAAATTAACCTTTTTTTTTTCTTCACACACTACTCTTAGGGATTCCACCTGGCTTTTATTTTATTGGCACAGCCAGTATTTGAGGCTGCCTGGCTGGTGCCAATATTGCAGTGATACTGGCAATACAAATGCTGGTATTTTTCTCAGTATAAACAAGAGATTACTCTGCAATACCAGCACTGGCCAGTGGAGACAGGCAGGGATAGGAAGTTCCAACATAGCCATCCCTGCCTATCTATACTCACTGATCTGCAGGGGTGCAGCTACATAGAGTCCAGACAGCAGCTCCCACCCTGCAGAGACAGCCTATAGCTCAGTGAAGTAAGGGATGGAGGAAAGGCTGCAAGGAGACATACACTGAGACACTAAGGGACACTGGGAGACATTATGGCAGACACTGAGACACTAAGGGACATTGGGAGACATTATGACACAGACACATGGGGACACAGTGTCCCCATGTCTCTCAGTGTCCCCATTTCTCCCAGCCAGTGTCCCTGGTGTCTCAGTGCCCCCTAGTCTCCCAGTGACCCCTAGTCTCCCAGTGAAACCAGTCTCCCAGTGAAACCAGTCTCCCAGTGCCCCCAGTCTCCCAGTGCCCCCAGTCTGCCAGTGCCCCCAGTCTGCCAGTGCCCCCAGGCTGCCAGTGTCTCATTGTCCCCCTGTCTCCTAGTGCCTCCATGTCTCCCAGTGCCTCAAGTGTCTCAATGTCCCCATATCTCCAAGCTAGTGTCCCTAGTGTCTGTGGCCCTGGTGTCTCAGTGTCCCCGTGTCTTCCAGTGCCCCCATGTCTCAATGTCCCCCAGCCAGTGTCTCTAGCGTCTGTGTCCCCATGTCTTCAAGTTTCCCCTATTTTCCCAGTGTCCCTATGTGTCCCAGTCAGTGTCCCCTAGTCTCCCAGTCTCACTGGTGTCTCCGTGTCCCTAGGTCTCCCCGTGTCCCCAGGTCTCCCCGTCTTCCTAGTGTCCTAGTGACATGGGGAAAGACACATGGGAATACTGGAGGACACAGGGAGACATGGGACATTGAGACACTGTGATACATAGGGACACTGGGAGACCTAGGGACACAACACTAGAGGACACTGGGAGACATGCGGCACTGAGACACTGATACATAGGAACACTGAGACCTGGAGTAATTGACACATGGGGGCACTGAGTCATGAGGGCACTGGGAGGCATAGGGGCACTGGGAGGAATCCATCTATACAGCAGAATCAAACTAAGTAGTTTTTTGGTGATTTTACAGCATTTTCTCTTATGTCACTCCTTGTGATTTACATCATGTGATGTCACCCATACATATTTAATTATGCAAATTAGTAATGTTTTTCCAAGAAAGGTGGCAACCCTAACTACTTTTCACATACTCTTACTTAAGTATGGAAACTTAAGAGGGATGTATGGGAACAAAAAACGTGTGTGGACTGGCTGACAATTAATTTAGGACACTATAGTCACCAGAACAATTGCAGCTTATTGAATTTGTTCTGGTGAGTAGAATCATTACCGTCAGGCTTTTTGTATTTTCTTATGGCTGCTGTTTTCTTTCTCTCCAGCACCATCTCCATCAGATACATGACGCTTGGGAATGTTTTAGTGTTTTTGGTCGATATGATTCTGTAATTAGGCCCGTCATAATTGTCAGCACCAGGCCCACTGGGCTGTTAATCTGGCCCTGCCTAGCAATATATATCTGCCCTCCTCAAACCCTTTCTCCAAAAGAGACTAAAATACGAGCACATTTGTGTTTTTATCATCTTGAAACGTGACTAGTGTCACACATGAGAATGAACTCTCCTATTAATGAACATAATATTGAAACACTAAAAAACAATGAATGAGAACTCTGAGAACGGACAAAAGTTTAGAGGAATTAATGCCCTTCGGTCAATCCTCACTCAGCTTAAAAAAAAGATTCAGCAACCCAGGATGATCATGTTAGCCTTCTTTGGGCCTCGTCAGCGAGGTGTAGCTGATAACCCTCTGTCTAGGCACAGTGAGCACGGGGTTTATGTCCGGAATAGCATTTTAAATCGGGGAGAGTCAAATTAGTGCAACAAAAACAAAGAACATGAGAATACCGTTTTACCTTTACCCAAGTTAAAAGGGTAATCCAGACATGGACCTTGTGCTCACTGTGCCTAGAGGGTATGAGGTCTATGCCGTCCAGGTAAGTCCCCATACTGCGATCGCCGGTGTGGGATTGCCAGCATGGGATTGCCGGCGACCGGGTAAATACATAGGATGGCGGGGACATTCTATGCCGTCCTGCGGCATTTAGAACCAGTTCATTAAGGATGGCATAGCAAGTCCTGTGGTCTTAAGGGGTTAAGAACCATTTGTTAAACTATTTTAACATGTTTTCATATTGATAAAGTTTTTGTGTGTCAGTATATATATCTTGTCCCATTCCTGGCTGTGAGGGTCATCCCTGTCTCCTCTTCCTATCTAGAAGCGAATTTGGGAGGGGCCCTGTTTATTCCTAGGAGTAGCATTGTATAGAGCATTGACACTCCTCGTGAAAGGTGTCTCCTATGCAAGCAGAATGCCTCATATTGCGTTTGTTGCCTGTGTATTAGGAGTTTAGACTTGATGGATGAGTAGTAGGTTTGCAGTTGACAGTATCGGAAGCGATCCAAGCCCCTAGGTGTACCTCTCAGGCATATGTCAGGCTTGAGTTTTCTGTTGGAGAACCAGGTTTGCAGACAGGTCCAATCAGCGACTTGGAAGCCCTCCAGATCCTGGTGCTTGAGGCCTCCAGCGAGGT